TGATGTTTGGTAGAATGGGCAGGTGGTGTTTTACAGACTAGGAGATGATTCCAGGGTTGTGGTTCCTAAAGTCAAGATGCATAGCATCCTAACCTTGGTTTCTTCAAATTTCACCTGGGAATTCTTACATAAACAAACATTTACCAAGCACCTGCAATGTGTATGGAGGGGAAATACATAAAAGCAGTGAATAAGGCATAGTAAGCCTGACTTTGACTCCTGGCCCTCCCGCATTCTACTTGTGTAAACTTGGTGTGCCCCAGACCCCTGCTCCACCATTTTCTGTCTTGCTCTAAGCCTCGGAGGACTGACTTTCATGGACCGTATCACCTGGGATCCCATTACTGCTGGCTTTGGCCAATGGGAGGCGCTCACAGGAAATGGGAGGGCAAGGGGAGAAGGAGGTCCTCTTACTCCTTTCCTGCTTTCTCATGGTTTCAGCAACAACCCTTCTATAACCCTAGCTTCTGCCTGGTGGTCCCTTTTTGGTGATTCCAGCTCCTGGCTGGGTTCTGATGACCCCACGTAACTACTTACATGGACATAGTAAGCCACACACATTTCAATGCTCTCCTGTAAGCACACAACATTATGAGTATTAAAAAAAAGAAAGGATGTGAAAAAAAAAAGGCAAGTCAGCATTTTCAGAAAGACCCCTTGGCCATATTTGATGCAGAATGAGGCTATACTGGGGTCCATCCACCCTCTCCAGCTTCTCAAAGTGTTTGCTGGCCTTGTGAGCGTTGATCAGCATATCTGCAGAAGGGATCGGAGGATCTGATGTAACAACTACCACATACGTGTTTGATGTAAAGACAACAGTGAAGGCAGTGAAGTGAGAATTCCTAACTTCCGTGCTCTGGAAAGAAGCGGCCAACTTACCACAGCTCAGCTTGAAACGCTTAGTGATGTTCCTCCAGTTACCTACATCCCAGCGTTGTAACGGCTTCCTGTTCTTGCTGGTCCCTGGATGCCTCGACATCCCTTATCGGTTCTCTTTACTTTGCCCACACCTCTAAGAACATTCCCCGCTTTTAAGGGAATATTATTAAACATCCTCTTCAAAGTTCTTAGCTGAGCACGCCATTTGCTTTTACCCGTTACCTTACTCGGGTGAGTCACCTGAGTTTATGCGTACAGCGGGTTGCTCTGAGGTTGACATGTGACTGTGTATACAAAGTCTTAGCAGTGCACCTGGCACTCGAAAATATTCAATTAATGATAACCACTAATGTTAGTAGCTGTTGTGCTTTTGTGCCAGACACCATGACGAACAGCAAAGTTTCCATCTGCTTCTGTGTAAAAGACCCATTTCTACCACTCAACACACCCGAGTTCTTCAAATGTGATAATACGTCAAGTGCCTACCTCGGTGACAGGGCACACTCCAAGCACTCAGCAAGCATTCTTGGCTCTTCAGAGCTCACCCCTTCCCCCACAAGTGACATTTCCCTTTTCTGAACTTCTATATCTTTTTCTATATTCCTCTTTTTATGCTGCTTCTTACTTTCAGCAGTGTAATAACTCATTGATGCCAGAGTCATCTACTTCATTACAACCACATCAGGGGCTAATGAGATAATCAAAGTATCCTGAAAAGTACAAAGTACTGCATAAAGGTATTGAGTCTGAACAAGAAGTTTGTGATGTTTTATGATAATATACAGAGGTTAATGTGGCCCTGAAATTCAACGTATTTTTTTTTCAGTTTCTCAGAGCTTTTTGCAATATTATCTTCCCAGAAGTTTTTTTTTCATGATTATTTCATACTCAAATATATGTTTGTCGGGGAAGAAATAGATTGAGGGAAAAATCCTTTCAAATTTTAGGTAATCTAAATAATGTTATGAGAAGAGAAACATTTCTCTACAGCTGAAATATGTACAAACACACACACACCACACAGAGAAATGCATGCATTCTTTGATAAGCCCCTTTCATTTTCCTGTGAAATGAAATTGCTTCATTTCCTTATGAAGAAAAATGAAATGTTAGTGTTGCAATAACATGGAATTATCGTATTTGCTTGGTATCCACCCACAATTATTTTAACATAGTGTTAGGACAGCATTTTCCTTCCTGCTTTCCTTTTCGCATCAGTAATGCTGCTCTCTCCTGGCTTCTTTTCTCTGTCTCTCTGTCTCTCTGTCACTCTTTGTTTCTGTTTAATTGCTTTAAATGTTGGTGTTTCCCAGAAGTCTCTAGTCTTCAGTCTCTTTCCCTCAAATTAAAAATGCTCCCTCCTATGGGTGAGCTAATCCAGGCTCATGACTTCAAGCACCACCTCAATGCCAACAATGCCGCAACCTTCACTACCGGTCCTGTGCTCTCTCCTGAGCTTCACACCTGCCCAGGGGACGTCCATGTTTGGCTGTCCCACAGGAGCTCGAAAGCTGACATTCCCAGAACAGATTGCATCCTGTTCTGTCCGGATACCTCCTTGTCCCCTGCCATTTTCTTCCATCCCACAGAGAGCTGCTTATCCTTGGCTTCACTTTCCCTTTTGCCTCCACATTTAATCAGTTGTGTTTTGACACATCAGTTTCCTTAAAATGATTCAAATCCATCCATGTCCTTCCACCCACTCTGCTACCATTAAGTCCAGGATATATCATTGGGCTCCTGGATCATTGCACAGCCCTTCTATTCAGAGTGGTCTTTCCAGACTGCACATCTGACCACACCATGCTCTTGCCTAAATCCTCCAGTGGCCCCCCAGTACCCTCATAATGAAGTCCAAATGTCTTACCGTAGCCCACAAGACACACCTCCACATCCTCATTCTGGTCACTTCCCCATCTTTCCCTTCTGTGGCCCTCTGCACATCATGCTCTGTCACCTGGCACGTTCTTGACCCCATCCCTGCTTGCGTAAACTTACCCCTTCTTTAAGACTCAGTAAAGGCATCATCCTTCCAAGAAGGCCCCCCGCCCCCACTGCCCTCGTCTGAATGTGATACACCTGTACCCCTGTTTTCACTCCCATTATGCAGTGCTGGCTTACTCGCCAGTCTGAGGAGCTCTTGGCAGACACACACATCTTTTTATTGCTGAATCCTCAATTCAAGTGTTTAGAGAAGGGCCTAATTAAGTCAATGGATGGCATTTGCCTCTCCCTACTCTCCTCAGCCCACTTTCTTAAGAATGGTTTCTATTCTTACAAAATAAGATTATAAACGCCAGGACCCCTTTCAGCTCCAGGATCAATGATTCTATTGCTCCAAATACCTGTTAACAGCTGCAGGGTGGTAGAGAGCTCATGGTCCGGGTTTGAATTCTGGCTCTGTCACAGCTCTGTGATCTTGCAATATTTGCTTAACATTTCTGAGCCTCAGATCCTCATATATAAAACAGGAATAGTAATACCAATC